GCTGAAATACACAAACTTCTTAATACTTAAGTTCCCTTTGTCATTATAACCTGAATTGCTGGTATAAACTTCATTTGTAATCTGTCTCTCCTTCTTAGCTCACTGTTCTGTAATTAATACCCTGCTTAAAATCAGCTTTTAATTCATTAGCTTTCTCCTTTCCTCTGACGTAGGTAGTAAGGCTTTTTTTCCTAAAATGTGCCGATTTTTGCCTTTTGTCTCTAGCTGCCAAGTCCAAACAGAGTTTCTTAGGAAAATCTGCATCATGTTGGCATAGCAACTGAGCTGCCAAGCAGCTATAATAGTGATGCTTGGCAACTCGTGGGAAGGACTATGGGGGATCTTAAGGCTTTGTGAAGCAAATCTGAGTTAGATTTGTTCACTTACTACCTGTTGTTGGGGGTACCCCTCTGCTCCCCTCGGTGGGGGCGTTTGGTGTTGGACAGTGGGTGTAGGTATCCTTAGGGCGCTGCTTGCAGTGAGACTGGACTTGGTGGGAAGGCTGGGGTGTGCTGTGGGCATGCATGCAGTGAGCTGCTGCAGCTGATCTTTAAGAGGATCTGGAGTCCCTGAGAAGATCCTGTTTTCACGCAGAGAGACGTCAGCAGGGAGTAGGTTAAGCCTAGTTAGGTAACCTGGTCACGGTGCCATGCTAGGTGAGGTGCCCCAGGAAGGGCAGAGGACACCATTGTAGGTCACAAATCCCAAGGGTACTGAGTTGCTCTGGGTTGTGATCCATTGAGATTTAAAAAAAAAAAAAAATCCTTGAAATTAAGCCACAGATTAAATATTCCCAGTTTGTGTGATTGACATGCAGTTCCATGAACAGCTCATTACAGACCTTGGCTTTGCTTTAGAGAACAAAATACCATGATAAAGACAGTACAGGCGGCCTGAGCAGGGGAGTGCTGGTTGGACTTTGCTCTGTCAGGCAGGCTGTTCAAACACAACAAACACTAGAAAATGTTGCTGTGTCCTCAGCAGTGGGGAAAAGGCTGTTATCCTGGCTGGCTCGAGCCAGTTCAGCAAACACACTTTGTTACTTCTGGTGCAGATAGGATTTCAGTGTTTGGTTATTTGCTACAGCTTTGCATCTTCCTTGTGTGATAGCTTCTCTGATTAATACCAAGTCTATAACTTAATTTAAAATTCATGTTAGCAGTCAGTGATTTTGTCCTGAATAGCATTGCTGCCTACTGCACATTTGGTACTCTCTGGAGAGCTAGGTGTTACCCCATGCCACAAACTCCACCAAATGCTCAGAAAGCTGTAATTATACCTGCATTAAATGCTGCTTGTGCCACACTCCCTCCAGCCTGGCTTGCTCCTAATCAGAGCTCAGGAACTCGCTTACAAAGCGGTTAAACTATCAAGCATAGAAACTGGAAAATGTTGTTCTGCCTGGGATACTTCTTGTAGCACACAACTGACTGCAATGTTTAATTGGAATCAGAAGAGGATGAAAAATATTAAGCTGGTGTAACTGCTGTGTGGATGCTTAGCTAGGAGGCTTAGAAGCAGCTGGGGCTATTTTGAAGCCTGCCCTTGATTTGGGTGATTTTCTCGGTATTTGGCTCAATGACAAACCTCCACAGGCTTTATTGCTGCTGTGTTGATAACTGGAGTGCTACAGAGGGGAGAGATCTTTGTGTGCAGGGGTTGTCTGCTCTTAGCTGGCAAAAGTGGTTTAGGGAGAACTTGCAACCAAAGCCAGTCAACTCTGGCATAGCAAAATAACCTTGTAAAAGTGGAACACTTTTGCTTAACCTGGCTATCCTAAATGTGTATTAAAACAGTAAGTGGCTGGCATCCTGTTCTTACTGTACTTAAAATAATTTTTGGGAAGATGGTGATAGTCCTCCTGTGTTGCATGATGGGAAATCAAGGCTGGTCCCCACTGCTACCTGAATAAATCCCCACAGAGGTGAGAACAGGATCAGAAAAGAACTGACAGGATGTCAGGCAGAGCAAGCGAGTGTCCTGGCCCCTTGCCAAAGCGCCGTGGGTTAAGAGGGACGCAGGAAGAGTTAACTGGCAGCGCTGTGCTGTAAGTGCCCGGGTTTATTGGGAGGCAGGTGTTGGGCATGGGAGGCAGCTCACATGTCTCCTTCGTACCAGCGGGGTGGGGCTGAGCAGCCCCGGCTTCCCTTTTAAGTAGAAGGGCAGGGCTTGTGCAGCCAATCCGCCGGAGCCAGGCTCGCTCGCAGGCGTGTGTCATGAGACTTGTTGGCATTTCCTTTCCACTAGGTGCTGAAATTAGCTTAGGGGAATCACTCAGTTTTACTTCCCTTCCTTGCCGGTCGGAGTGAGCTGAGTCTTGGGCTCAGAAAGATGCTCTGCCTCTGTCTGTACGTGCCGGTGTTTGGGGAGAGGCAGGCGGAGTTTGAGTACTTTGAGTCGAAGGGGCTGCCGGCCGAACTCAAATCCATCTTCCGACTCAGCCTCCTCATTCCTTCCCAGGAATTCTCTACCTACCGCCAGTGGAAGCAGGTATGGCCCTGAGAGAGGAATGGAAGGGAGGGAGGGAGTGATGGAGGTGGTGTCTAATACACTTAGTGGCTGTCTTGAGAGGGGGAGAAGTTCTTGATGGCTGTGTTGTAATAACTGAGTGAAGCATGGAAATGCTTCTCGTGCTCCTTGGCAGAGATTGCTGAACTGACGTGGAGTGAACTCTTTTCTTTTTGATTCTTTTTGAATTGGGTGAGGTCTCAGTGGCTATAAGACTGTTTAAAGCAGTTGATGTGAGTTAAATAGAAAAAACGGGTTTTCCAAACTATGGAGTCTTCTGTTTCGATGGGTCAGTTCAGATACAGCATTTCACATCCTCTTCCTCCTTCTTAAATCCTTCCCCCATGCCTTCTGACAGCAGGGCTGTAATGTAGAGTCAGCTGAAGCTGGTGAAGGTGAACAGGTTTGTGCTGTGAGCAGGAGAGCAGCTCAGTGTGAGTGACTCAGCCAGGGGTGGGTGGGCTGAGCTGGGGAAGGTTATGCAAGAACCTTTTGCTTTGCTGTGGAAGAGACATGCACTAAATCCATGGAGTTCTTCATCCTGATGTGTCACCACTCTGGCTTTCAGCTTGCTGCTACTTTTTTTTTTTTTCCCACAGTCAGGCTGTCAAGAGCTCAGAGAGCTGATTATTGATCAGCCAAGCAGGGGAGGCTTTTTATGCCTCTGCAGAGACATGAACAGCAGGCTGGAAGGTGTGTGGTTCCCACAGTGTGCTGCAGGGGCTGTGACTGAAAGTGTCACAGCCTTTAGGACTGTCACAGGAACTTCTGCAGCTGAAATAACTGTTAATGGCCAGATTTCACGTTTGAAAGTGAAGAGGTGCAGGCAGATACTTGTTTACACCTCCAGAGAAGATGCTGGGAGCTTGGCTTTCTCACCCCTCACATGTGTGCTGTGGGTTACTGTCAGGCAGGTAGCGTTTTTGTGCTGTGATTGTGGGGGAGAAAGGTGAACAGGGCAAAGCTTTTATGGCCTGCGGTCTCTGATCACTCAGGCTGCATTTCTGCAGCTGAGAGAGAGGGAGCAGTTGCACAGTCACCTCTCTCTTACAGTGCCTCCGAATTATTAATGCCTGTCAACTGGTTGGGGGTTGCCAGGGAGAGGGAAGCCCTGATTCAGCTGTTCAAGCCCATGTGCTGACAGGAGAGGGGTGTTGGTCTATATTTAGCCCACAAGTTGAATGTGAGGTCGTATCTGAACTTCACAACGGTCATATGACAAATGGCAGGTTAGGAATACTGGGCATACCTTGGAGGTCAGGGCTGCTGGGACAGCACTTTCTTATTTAAGGGTCATTAAGTGATTAGGAATAATCCTCATAGCATTAGGGCTAAAGAGATGGGACTTGGTGGGTGAGAGAGAGCGTTTCAATAGCGAATTATTTAGTACTGAAGTAATTTAAAATGACATTGAAACAAAGACATGGCTTATGAAGGGGACTGGTGGTCATAGACTGATGTATCACAGTGAGTTTAGGCTTGCCTAATACTTTGAAGCCTAAATACTGAGCAAAATACTGGTGAACAGAGGGTTAACCCAGTGTTTCATCTCAGCTCAGAGTTTCTTTAGCAACCCTTCTGCTGTTAACATAAATGTTACAAGAATTAAAACAAAACGTTGGGTGATGCACTAGACTGAATCACACCTCATTGAGTGTTGCTCATTGATGTTGGAAAAAACTTAAAGGCTGTCAAAGGCAAGTGACTGAATCAGAAGGGGGACAGGAACTCCCTGAGCCACATTCTTGCAGTCTGGAGATCACCTCAGCTGTCAACAGGCAGCCATGTGCCCTTAGAGAGGAGAGTCCATGGGCTATTGCCTCAGTGAGTTGCAGTGAGTTAATTAGTCAGTTACCTTGTCCTAGATGTCTGGCACATTTTAATCTTGATTTTAGCTGCGTCCTACTAAGAACGTATTCTTGCTCTTTGCAGATCTCATGGAAACTTGTGTAATTAAAGCACGTAGCTTCAGGGCGCCTAAACCAGTTCACAAAGGTTTTTATCTTGGGTTGTGTTCACTGGAGCTGGACAGGATTTTGCTGGCTGGAGTTAGTTATTGCCAGAGGGAGCTTGCTTCTCTAAGGATTGTAGTAGGCACGAAATTCCTTCTCCTGCTCAGTTTTTTTTATAACCTCAAGTTTTGTGATTCACTTTTTATGCAGATCTGTTGACTCATACTTAGTTCTAGAACCTCCACAAGGACTTTGCAAGGTGTTAATCAAGGTTCAGTCCTGAGATTATCAGGAATATTATCTTAGTGTCATGTGTCTAAAACCATGAGGCATTCCATCTGTGTAATGGACTTTGGGAAACAGTTGGAATCAGGTGATTTTGCTGTGTCGCTCATCTCTCTTAGAAGAATTACAGTTCTGTCAGCTACTTTTTGGAGAAAAAGTCAAAGTTGTGTGGGAAATGTTTTTTAAATATGGTAGAAGGAGAGATAGATCTGAGTGAACGAAGGAACTGACAGTTCTTGGCTGTTTTCTGAACAGAAAATTGTGAAGGCTGGAGACAAAGACCTGGACGGACAGCTGGATTTTGAGGAATTTGTTCACTATCTCCAAGACCATGAAAAGAAGCTGAGACTGGTTTTCAAGAGTTTGGATAAAAAGAATGATGGTAAACACCTTTCTCATGCTCAGGGTGGACTGGTGCATGTGTTAGCCTGTAATATGAATCCCTGAGCTCACTGGCTTATCTTTGCAGGCCGCATCGATGCCCAGGAGATTGTCCAGTCTCTCCGGGACCTGGGAGTCAAGATCTCTGAACAGCAGGCTGAGAAAATACTGAAGAGGTGAAGATTCTACTGGTTTTTCAGTTTTATATCAAGGGAGCTAGAAAGAAATATAGGGACATGAATATAGGGACTCTTTTTCCCCTGTATGCACTTTCCAGAGACTTTGGTTCCTCCCTTTTTTCCTATTACTTTCCATTTTGATTTTTCCTTGTGAATTGACATAAAATTATAAAATCATAATGCTTTATTGAGACTTACTGTCAGAGTCTCTCCCTAACCTGTTGAGGGGAAGTGCTTGCACCTAAGCTGATTTGCATCCCTGTCTGCCTGTCCTGCTGCCCTGAGCTTGCTGCTGTGGAGAGGGACTGTGCAGTTGCTCTTTGGAAATGCTGAGTGCTTTATGCATGTGCCACTAACATGTTAACAACCACTTATTTGTGCTGTTTTTTTCCTCTTTTTTTCCTCTGCTACCTTCCCTCTGTCTGTTTGCCTGTGTGTCAGAATAAGGACGGGACACTTCTGGGGTCCTGTCACCTAGTAAGTATTATTTTCCCTTCAGTGTCAGTTATGTCCCTGAATTTGGTAGGAGGGATTGCAAATACTGTTGCAGGCTGTTTAGAAGGGAGAGAGAGGGGAGGAAAGAGAGCCCACTTCTACCTCAGCATTGTTTGGTGAACAGAAGGTTTCCTAGCTTTGTCTTGTGTCTCTTTAGAAGTCTTTCAGTAGCTGCTTTGCAAAGCTCTTTTTGGTGTAGGCCTGGGTAATGAAAGGGAAGGGGAGGAGGAATTTGTCACCCAGTGGGAGTCTGTACTCACCTGATGATCAATCTTTTTAGCATGGATAAAAATGGGACAATGACAATTGATTGGAATGAGTGGAGAGACTATCATCTGCTGCATCCTGTGGAGAACATTCCTGAAATCATCCTGTACTGGAAGCACTCCACGGTAAGAAATAGCTCCTGTGCAACTGGTCTAGTCTTTGCCCAACTTCTTCGTCCAAGTCTTGGCCCCCAGGAGCTGCTATCAGCAGTCTTTATCTTTCTCTTCATGGTTCACAGCTTCCCTGTAGCCCTTGAAGCTCAATTGCTTCCTGTCCTCTGCTGTAATCTTGCTACATATCACTGTCACAGCTGCTGGCACAGGTGATGATTACTGCAGGGAGCTGAGGGTGTTCTCCAGGAGCTCCTGCCAGTGGCCAGCCCCAGCTGGTTCAGGACCTGTTAAAACTAGAATCTGATTCCACAGGCAGCCATCCTTCCTGGAGTTATCTGTATGTGAACAGTAATGAGATTTAACAGGCTACGAGCTTGGAAGGTTCTGGAGAGGTCCTTTTTTGCCATGCAGCTGCCTGCAGTGGGTCAGTTTGTTCCTAAATACCTGCAGTATTTTGATGTAGACAAATGTTCAGCAGTTGCCAGGATCTTGGAGAGAAATCTTGAAATCAGAACTCGGTTTCCCCTGTGACAGGTTCTAGCAGTGGCAGCTCCTGTGGCCAGGCACAGCAGTTAGTGGCTGTAGATAAGCTGCTGGCTTGGAGCAAGCATATCCTGTACTTCAGCACCTTGTGCTAATAAAGAGCAGTAAAACTGTAGCAAGATCACTGGCTGATGAAGCATTTGTCAACACCTTCTGTTTTTGCAGATCTTCGATGTGGGAGAGAATTTGACTGTCCCTGATGAGTTCACAGTGGAAGAGAGGCAGACAGGGATGTGGTGGAGACATCTGGTTGCAGGTGGAGGTGCAGGTGCTGTGTCCAGAACCTGCACAGCTCCCTTGGACCGTTTGAAAGTGCTCATGCAGGTATGATGGAGCAGTTCCAGTTTATTTAAATACCTGAGCAGATTCTCTTTTAATATTTATGGTTATCTGGGAGATAATAATGTTCATCAACACAGTACAGCGCACTGGCCAGTGTTAATCTTGTTGTTCTTTTATTGTTATTTTAAAAAGCATTCTAAATTGAGTGATCAAAGTAATATAAAAAAGTTGTTATTCATTGACTAAAAAAGTACAGAGAATCTTTTTGGAGGTAGACATGCCAAAATTGTCAGTAGTAAGACAGTTTTATGGAAAACTTGAGTTTTGGTGAAACAGGTTAAAATTCTGTATTCCTTTGAGAGACCCTGATGCCATGAGAGTTGAAGTGAATGTGCTGGTCAGTTGGCAAAGCTTATATTCAGTATTATCAATATTAGAAAGAAGTTGGAAAATTTTGATTTTAGCCTGCTTTGTCACTGCACCTTCTCTTGAACCAGCTGGGAAGTTGATGGGTAGTTGATCCTGTGCTGGTTATGGGAAAAAGCCTAGACAGTTGCCTATTTAACCTTTCCTCCCATTCCAGAGGGTGATATTGATTAGATTGATTAGTTAACGCTAGACTTGGCAAAAAAGAAAAGAAGCTTGCTTTCCCATTGTAGAAGTTATCTGGAAGGGATTAAAGCCTTGGCAAATCTCTGGGTAAATAAAAAAGTGCCCTTTTGTCCCTGGATTACAGCAAAACGTTGCACTGTCGTAATGGGGACTGGAACTAATCCAGCTTGTCCCTCTCGCGCAGGTCCACGCCTCGCGCAGTAACAACATGTGCATCATCGGCGGCTTCACGCAGATGATCCGGGAAGGTGGCCCCAGGTCACTGTGGAGAGGCAACGGCATCAATGTGCTGAAGATTGCACCCGAGTCAGCCATCAAGTTCATGGCCTATGAGCAGGTGAGGGCACAGACAGCTGTGTCTGCACAAGGACAAGCTGAAAAGGAAGTGATGGCTGAGATAAGTCACGGGGCCTCAATGTCTGTCTGTTCTGGCTTCTGCAGATCAAGCGGTTCATCGGTACTGACCAGGAAATGCTGCGCATCCACGAGCGGCTCTTGGCTGGTTCTCTGGCTGGGGCCATTGCACAGAGCAGCATCTACCCCATGGAGGTGAGGCAGGAGGCTGAGTCCAGCCTCATGGGTAGGGGCAGGGATGGGAGGATGAGGGTAGAGCACCAGCACTGTGATACTTAATTAATGAGCTCTCAGAGGTGGTGCAAAGCACCACAAGACACTTGCTGTGGTCCTGACAGTTGTGGTCCTAAGGATGACTTAGTCTGTACATTGTTCTCTTGCTCATTCTTTGCAGGCCTTCATGCTATTTATTCTTGTCTTCTAGGTTCTGAAAACACGGATGGCTCTAAGGAAGACGGGACAATATTCAGGCATGTTGGATTGTGCCAAAAACATCCTTGCAAAGGAAGGAATGGCTGCCTTTTACAAAGGCTACATCCCCAACATGTTGGGAATCATTCCATATGCTGGTATTGACCTGGCAGTCTATGAGGTATGAAGCCTTTAACCTATTGTTATGTTAAGCCTAACAATTATCATATTATGTTCTGTGTTATTGTTAACCTATTATAGGGCTGTACTGCTTGTGTGGCCCTATCACTGTCAGACCTATCAATCATGTCAAGAGTTTAAGTAATTTATCAAAGCTTTCTTGAACAGCCTTATGGGGCACAAATGGTTTTTTTTACCCAAAACTTACTTAAGAGATAATTCAATATGATGATTCTAGTTCATAAACCATAGTCAGCATTATGCATAGTCGCTTGTTTCTTTTCTTCATGAGAAAATTGCAGCAGAAAATTAAAGGAGGGATTTTCCCCTGGCACTATGGCAACAACAGCTCAAAGAGATTTGAGATGCCCTGTGCTTTTGGCTGAACTTGCCTAGCACTTTCTGAGCCTTTACTCTAGATATTACATGAAATGTGATACTCCTTGACTTGCCTCATCCCTGTTGACCTTGGGCTTGTTCCTTCCAGACACTAAAAAATACCTGGTTGCAACGCTACGCTGTCAACAGCGCTGACCCTGGGGTCTTTGTTCTGCTGGCCTGTGGCACCATCTCCAGCACCTGTGGGCAGCTTGCCAGTTACCCCCTGGCCCTTGTGAGGACACGCATGCAGGCCCAAGGTGAGAACTTTTGGAACAGTGGGAGCTCCTGCTTTTGTTTTTGAGCAAGGCTAAAAGTTCTTTAGTGTAAGCATTGCAACAACGGCCTCAGCTGGCCCCCGCAGCTGAGCCATGGGCTGTTTGTGATGCTGCAAGGGGACAGTGGACTTTGTGCTGCCCTTTTAACCTCTGCAGCCAAGGACGTCCAGAACCAAGGTTCTGTTTTGCTCAGATCAGCAGTTCTGGGCTGAGGGCATCTGCAGAACAGTTTGTGAAAATACTTGCAGTGTGGAGCACAGAATGGATAGCTGAAAAGTTAACGCTGTCCCCTGTAAAGCACCTTTGCTCTGGGATCAATACTGCTCTTAGAAACAAAAGTGTTTTCACCACATCGGCTGCATTATTTATTGTGGCTTTCCCTGTTGCAGCTTCAGTGGAGGGTGCTCCTGAAGTGACCATGAGGGGACTGTTCAAACACATTCTGAAGACAGAGGGAGCGTTTGGGCTTTACCGGGGTCTGGCGCCCAACTTCATGAAGGTGATCCCAGCTGTGAGCATCAGCTACGTGGTCTATGAAAACTTGAAGATGACTCTGGGCGTGGACTCGCGGTGACCAGGAGATGCTGAGGACTCGGAACTCTGAAATCTTGGGATGCAATCCCAAGACATATAAGCCATCTCTCATTCTGTGAATGTGTCGACACTAAGCTGACTAAGCAAAGCTGTGAAATCTCAGATTGTGAGTCAGTAAGGAGGAGGGAGGGGAGGATCTGGTGTCCTTTGCCATCTTGCTACTCAGAGCTCCATATAAACCATCACAGGGTCCTTTTTGTTGGGCCTTTTGGGAGACCAGGAGCTGAACTCCTGGGAGATCTTGAGGTGGGAGTTGCTGAGGTCAGTTCCCAGCAGTATGACGGAGTAGCAAAGATTTGCGTTACAGGCCTGCTCTCAGCGTGTTGCCTGTATAGAGCTACAGATGAGCACCTTCTGACTTGCTGAAAGAGCTTCTTTTTTCCATTCAGAGAGCTGCTTTTTCCATTCAGTTGTTTAACTTCCTGCCCATTGTTTAAATTTGTACAAACCTTGTGTAGGAGCTGCTGCCACACCAGGCTTGTTATGTTTACAAATATTCCTTTGGGTGGGAAACATTCATGTTCTGCTTCCAAGAATTGACATGAAATGTAACTTTGATCTATACTGGTTTGGAGGGCTGGTGGGCAGTTGGTTTATCCAGCCAGGCTGAAGGTTACTTAAACCAGCCTGATGAAGAATTAGGATTATTTATTTTTTATAGATTTAAGTGTGTCTCATAAACCCACTAACAAGATGCACTTACTAACAGAAGCAGCAGACTAGAGCCTGCATGCCTGTATCCTTTGCATGCCGGGATTGGCTTGTCTTATTCTCTGCAGGGGCTTGGAAAGGGGAAGGCAGGAGAGCCCTGGGCTGCCCGGCACTGTGATGCATGGCTTTAGTGAACAAAGACAAAACAACTCACAGCTCCTGTGCAGCTGTGCTCCCAGCACGACATGAGAGCCCCTGCGCAGCGTTGCATGGACCTCTGAATTCCATCCTGCCTGGTGCCAAGGAGAGCTCGTGAACCTTTTCCAAACCCCGTGCCTATGCTGCTATCTTATCTCTTTAGACCTCTTGGTAGATTGATGTTCAGGTTTCCATTGGTGTGATGGGGGCCCCAAGTCAGGAATGTCTGCTGTGGGAAGGGGTGTTAGGGAGAGGGGCTGTCGCTGGGAGAGGTGAGATTTCAGTCCTGAAGACATGCTTGCTTGCCTTTCAAAGGGTGCTTTTCATAAGGCTAAGGGAAAGAGATGGCTTTAAAATTTCTCTGTTAGCATTATGGGCTGCTTTAGTTAATAGGATCCAGCTTCTGAGGCCTGGGAGATCCTCACCCAACTTTTCATTTTGGGTAAAATGGACCAGCATTGCATTCCACTGTTTTACTGCTTAAAGCATATTTATTTTGTATTTATTTGAACAGAGTTATTTCAGACTATTTTTATAGGTTTGTTTAAATATTGTTACTGTGCTTGTATTTCTCCTGTTTTAAAAAGTTCTCTATTAGTTCTTTTACATCACGCAGCTGAGTTGTGGGGAGGGATGCTAAAATCACTCGTGTACCTTCCCTCTGGGGCTTGAACTGCCTTTCCCATGTCTGGGTTTGTTGCTGGAGGACCTCAGCCCAGAGAAATTCTGTAGCAAGAAGCCATAGGAGAGAAGGGAGCAGATGAGGAAGCAGACACTTGGGGAGAGGGTGCACTGTGAGGCTTGCCTTAGCCTGGAATTGCCTCTGTGCACGGCAGAAAGGCTTTGGGTGGATGGCTGAAGTTGGGAAGTGGAAGGTCTGTGGATGTTGGATGTCACAACAGTTAATTAAGAGCGCCTGGGGGAGTTTTTAGGTAAGGGGGGAAGAGAGAAATCTCAGGGACTAAAGACAATGCACATTTCCAGAGAGATGGAAGGAAACTTGCACTTGGACATGAGCTGCTACAGTTGTGCTTCAAGGCTGAATCAGCAGACCCTGCTGCTGAGCCAGTGCTCATCACATGCAAGGGGACACTGTGGAGATGTGTATGAGAAATTGGAAAAGGATTTGCTAGCACTCAAACAGCTGCTTTCTTTCAGACAGATTTTGGTGGTTCATGGAGAGTCTCCCAGGTGAGACTCTGCCTTCACTTTCAGTGCTGTCAGTAGTAGCCATGTGGAAATCTAACCAACAATGGATTAGTGATATGATTTTTTTTTTCCACCCCCCTCTTCCTGAGACCTGTCATAAATTCTGCAGTGGCTCCTTCCTACCAGTGTGGCCTAATGAGAATATGAATATCAGAATGCAAAAATCAATGCAAAATGACAACCATCTTTGTAGCTGTAACCACAAATTGTTATAATGCAAATCTAACTCGGATTCTTCATGTAGGGAACAGTCTGCTAATAAAGGTCTGATAAAGAGATACCATGTCTCCATTTCTTTCTCTGTGGTTTATTGGTGCTCTGTGAGGCCAGACTCTTCCTGGGCTAATTCTCACCAAGGACGCTGACACGGATTCTCACTGTGAGGACCTGGGAGAACAGAATTCTTAAAAACAAAACCAGCGAGATCAAGGCTGATGATAGAGGTGATGAGTCAGGGATGTTCAGACTCTGTTTACCTGTCTCTGAGTATTGCTGGACTTTGCTCATCTCTGCAGTATCCATAACACTCTGTTCAGAGATGTGAACTTCCCAGAAAAAAACCTGAAAGCTCTGCAGTCCAGTTATCCCCTTGAAAGAACCTGGCTTATACCATTTTCAAAATAAAGGCTTTTTGTACAAGTTTTTTTCATTAATAACAACCCAGCCTGGAGCTACCCTTGAAGGTCATTCAGGAGCCATAGCTGGTGGTGCAAGTGGCCTCTGATTTGGTTAACAAAACTTGCTGTGGGGGCCTGGCTGGCTTTATTTGTTCCTTACGTCTCCTACTGTAATCCAAGGCTTTTATTCAGCTATAAATCTACTCATAAAGTCTGGGTTTTTGTAATCTGAGCCACAGCTCTCCAGTGGTGTCAGCTGAGCTGGATCCTTGACCCGCAGCACTGGAGGCTGCTGCCAGCATCCCCTCAGAGAGGTTGGGGAGTTGTGTTTCACATCACAGGCTGATAAAGAGGTGGATGAGCAAGAGCTGGCTGGGCATCTGTGCCTCGAGACCTGGAGGGATCAGGTTGAACTTTGTTTTTTCCAGCATGATAAAAATTATCTCGGAGGAGACCTCACTCTGCATTTCCCTGAGACAGGAGGGTGCAGGTGGGGGTCGGGCTCTGCTCTGGGGAACAAGGGACAGCAGGAGAGGGAATGGCCTCAAGCTGTGCCAGGGGAGGCTCAGATTGGACATCAGGAGGAATTTCTTCACTGAAGGATTTGTCAGGTTATAGGAAGGGGCTGCCCTGGAAGGTGATGGAATCCCCATCCCTGAAGGTGTCCAAGGAGTTGACTGGATTGGTGCTCAGTGCTCTGGTCTGGTTGACAAGGTGGGGATTGGTCACCTTGGAAGTCTTCTCCAACCTTAATGATTCTGTCATCTTGTAAAATTCATTTTTGCTAGAGCAGTCACTCCAAAGGCACTGAAATTTTGTCTGGGGCAGAACAGAAACAGAGCACCCTGGAGCTCCAGAGGGACTGACAGAGCTCGCTCCTGCCTTCCCTCTGGCTATTCTCATTTTCTTCCTTTTTAAGGAAGAGAGATATTTTCAGTGCTTAATTATGAAGTTAGAGCTGAGCCTGAGTTACTCTCCAGACAGGCAGCAGCAGCAGTCTCTTGTCACACTTGCCCACTTTTACAATGGCAGGGGTGGTGCTGACCCCCCTTGGGGCTGGGATAAGGGGTGTGTGAGGTGCCTGGTGAGTGCAGGGGCTTACTGGAGGCATGGAGAGAAATGTCATCATGGCACTTCCATCTCCAGGGTGTTGAGCTTGCTGAGAAATGAGAAATGGTGACTTTTTCTCTGAAAACTAAAAATCCAGGCTGGGTTGGGTTAGCAGCCCTTCCCTCTCTGGCAGGAGGATAATTTGTCAGTGTCAGACACGGTGTGCAAACCGAGCTGTGGATGGAATTATCAGGGAGCACTTGCCTGGTCCAGAGGTTTTGGGCAGGAACATCTGTCCCACCTGGGCTACCTGGCAGTCAAGCTGCTGTCAGGAGAACTGGGTGGTCCCTTTTAGCTAAGCCCCCTTTTCCTCAGGCTGTACAGTTACAGCTAAGTTTCCAACCTTCTCTATATTCCAGTTACTCCTCAAATGCTTGTTTTGCTTATTTAAAATAGTTTATGATTGCCCTCTCCCGGCTGCTCTCTCTCACTGCTGCATTGCAGCACTGCTTTTTGGCAGAGCACTTTTCCAAGCTCACTGCTCCAGGCTGACTCTCCCAGCTCCTAGCTGGATGACACACGAGGTGAATTGGGCGTTCGTTCTCTTTTTGCAAACCCCACTTCTGCACCCTTCAGAACCCTCTGCTCTCAAAATTGGCACCAAATTGTATGCAATTTGAAGGAAACGTTTATTGCCCTGTGTGGGGTCAGTTCCCTGCACTGCCAGGCCAGGGAGTCCCTGGGGCTGGTGCTGCTGTGGCTGCAGCCGCAGGCTCTGCGTGGGGGCTGTCGCTGCCTTCGGCTTCTTTCACTTGACACACCTCCTGTCAAAACAACAAAACCAGGGTAAGTGAATCTGCCAAGGTGCCAGCAACAGAGAATATACTCAAGAAAGAAATATTTTCCTTTCTTCTTTTAGTTGATTACGTCTAAGAAGGCTTCCCTGTGCTGGCCCAGGCACAGAAAAATGCTTGCCCAGGTGCTCAGCTCCTGCTGGTGCCATTTTCCATGTCTGTGCTGGAAAGAGGAAACCAAGTTTCTGGGGCAAAGTTGGAGTATGTGTGCTCTGAAGGAAAGGGGGAAATTCAAGACTTTGGGGGAAATAAGTAAAAAGCTTGTGCTGCTCAGGCACTCTATGTAGGTTAAGTTCTGTTAATGCCTGCAGCTGACATGGGGCTTTGTGAGTCTGCTCCTGTGCTCTGCTCACATCCACCTCCTTCAGCCTGATGATAAAAGGCCCCAAAATGTTTTCTGTGTTTGTTTAGTTGGTTTTTTACTCCTCAGGTGCAGTGGCTTTGGGCAGTAGCTGCCAATCCTAATTGCACCACAGTTTGTAAGCACAGACAGTCCTAATTCCCCTCATTCTGCCCAAATTTAAATGTGATCCAGAGACTGCAACCCCCCCAGTCCACAGCTGCATGCAGTTAATGTGGAGGAGCTGGGCTCTGCCTCCCAGGTGCTGCTTGTTTGCTAAATGGGAGAGGAGACCTGCCCCAGGTGCATCCCCATTCCCAGGCTTTCACTCTCTGTCCCCGTCCTCCATTCCCCTGAACCTGTGGGGTGGTTTTCAAAGCCACCACTTGAGGCTGGAGAAGTGCTGGGGACAATGTTGGATCCAGCCTGGTGGCTTGGAGTGGGATTTTGGGCATCTCTGAAAACTCAGAGCCTGCTGACATGGATGAGCAGATGACCAGGACAGAGCAGCAAAGGTAAGATGTTTTTCACCTTCACTTTGCAAACAGAAGCCCCTGTCAAGCTGACTCAGGGCCTGGCTCATTTACAGGATAAAATGTCTTAAATTGGGTGGCAGAGGTGAGAACTGGACCTGGTTAATGTTTTGGTGGAAAACCCGAAGGGAAAAAATCCCTGGTGCCTCTTGCCCTTTCTTCAGCTCCTGGGGGCAGCTGGTTATTCCTAGGGGGCAAAACCTGGGGTTTCAAGGCAAAATCAGTAACTTCAGGGCAAAAATCCCTTGCCTATTGCCCCCCTGGCAGGGGTAGGCAGGCAGTTTTGGGGGTTCCCAGTGGAGATGTTCAGGTGCAGGCTTTGGGGTTGCTATTTTAAACCTCGGCTGAAGCAAGTCTGTGATTATTTAATCCTATAAGTAATTTCCAACACGTGGAAAAGGTGTCTCCAAGAGCCCAGTTTGGCAGCTGGAGGTGCAGCCCGGGTCTGCAGCCCTGCCTGGAGGGGGCTGTGGTGGCTCGGGGTGCTCGGGGTTCTCGGGGTGCTCGGTACCGTTCTCCACGGCGCGTACACGATCTGCTCTGCCCTCAGCCCCAGGCACTCCACGTGCTGCTCAAACTCCTCCTTGTCAGCCGTGCTCAGGCTCAGGCTCCGGGCTGCAGAAGGAGAAGGATTTGTCAGGTGTTAAATATGGACTGGTGGCCCCAGCACAGCCCCTTGTGCCACGCCCTGTTGGAATCTGAGGTATTGATGATCCCAAGATTGTAGAAAGTCTCTGTCTGTCAGCCCCCTGCCAAAGCAGAAGCCATAATTGGTCTGTGCTGGTTTCCAGGTTGTTTATTCTGTTTATCTCTCACATGTTCTGCTGCCCTGCCCAGCTCTGTCCTGCAGGGCAGCGTGTGGGGCTCTGCCCTCAGTGGGATGTGACAAACATTAAATACCAGAAACTCCCTGGGCTGGATTTACAAGAACGTGCCAATATCTGTCACCTACGTTGGACAGTGTGTCCCCAGCCTGAACCAACAGAAAAATGCCAACACCACAGTGAAACATGGAGGGCATGAAGAAGGAGAAAAAGGACAAGGCACACCCAATTTCCTCTATCTTGTCCCCTTTGGATCCCTCATCTAGAATCCTAAAATTTTACTTTTGCATCCGTGCCACACTGAATTATTACTCATATCAAACACTCAGAGCTTGTAATTGATGCTGTAAGATTGAAAACTCTTTTCCATGGCCAGAGATCACAGCCAGTGTCTCTGGGGGCTCTGTCCAGGGGGTTCCTGACCCCTGCCAGGGTCCCAGACCTGCCAGGGCAGCCAGAGGGAAGCTCTGGATTCCCACAACACCCCTGTCCTTGCCTCCCTACCTCCCCCACCAGTGCTTGCAGTGGATGTGTGGGGGTCTCTCACCCCCACAGTGAGCACACCTGAACAAAACCAACCCTGGGCATCATTTGTTCAATCCTCTCCCAAACAACTCTGGTCCTGTAAGCTTAAAGGGGTTGCAGGATGGTTTGCTACTCCTGGGGTGTCAGGAGGGACCAAGGCAGAGTATGGAGGCAGTTTTCTATATCTGTCTTCAAAATCTCTTAAGCAACTGCTTTGCAGCCTGGCAGGATGATGAGGAGTCTTATCAGAGTCAAAACTGCTGCTTTATGGGTTTGTGGTTAAATCTCATCAGCTTTAGCACTGCAAAGCCATGTGCTCTGCCCTGGGAGGTAAGTACTGAAACATCATGGTTGGCTTGAAAATTTTGAGATTTTACAATGATATCAATTGTGTATTTGTATTTGCTTCCTGTTCTTTGAATATTTATGGTGTAAGTGGGTTTGGTCTTTAACTTGCTTTCCCTGCTCTGCCAGGAGTTGTGGGGTTTAATGGAGTTTGCAAATCCCATGACCCCTGAGAGTTGGTCTCAGGAAA